TAATTTTTCTGGAAGAGGCCTTTCTCGTCAACTTCTTTTTGTAGTAATTCCAGCACATTTCTTTCAATGACCCGGCCAGTAGAGTGATGGGTCGCTAGTTCTCGAGTTGTGATTAACTTTCCTTGGATTTTGGATTGTTAGCACAATAGCCGTTTTTCAAGAGTCCTGGAATAACTTCCATTTCATTATTACATTAACTATTTTCATAATTACCGTAATTTCGAAAGCTTCTGGCCTTCCTGCTTAATTATAGTTAAGCACCATGTTGCTATTTTTTGAATACTTTCGCCAAGAACTCTCTTGTTATGAAACTGACTCGAATAGCATCTTAGGTTGTATTGTCCTTTTTTTATTTTGGTGCTTTAATCTGTGTTTGTCCTCTTATGACAAAATCAAAATTAACTTGTTTGCCATTCTTTTCAAATTTCTTTGGGGTTGACTTCCTGCATTTTCGTTAAAGTATGTCATACAGCTTTTTCTGATGAAGTCTAAGATTTCTATTTTTTCTTTCTGCCCTTGTTCCAAGTTTTCTACCAGGTTAGTTTTGATCATCATAAACACCGGGTCATCTTTCCAAACGGAATCATACACTTTTGCGACATTTAATAGCATCTTAATAGATTACTGCTTTTTCTTCTGGACAAGTTCCAATGTGCTAGTAAGATTTGCACCTTCTAGTCCACCTTTTCTACGTATCCTGAATCCCAATTGATTTTTCGGGAATAAGCCTTTCTCCTCAACTTCCTTTTTTTTTCTTCAATGTATTTCATACTGCTTTTCTTCGTGTTTTTCTGTTGAAGTCTAACAATTTGATTTTTTTTTTTACCTTTATTCCAAGTGTCCTTTTAGGTTGGTTTCGATCATCATAACCAGCAGGCCACGTATCCAAACGGAGTTATAAACCTTTGGGATACTTAATAGCATCTTAATAGATTACTGCATTTTCTTCTGGACAAATTCCAATGTGTTAGTGAGGTTCGTAGTTTGCTGTACACTTTTTCTTCGTTTGCTAAATCCCAATTGATTTTTCTGGAAGAGGCCTCTCTCGTCAACTTCTTTTTGTAGTAATTCCAGCACATTTCTTTCAATGACCCGGCCAGTAGAGTGATGGGTCGCTAGTTCTCGAGTTGTTTAGTACTCCTTTTTCTCTTTTTTATGAATTTCGGAAGTGCAGTTCTTGTTCCATGACTTTTTTACTTCAGGTCTTCCTCATTATGTACAAATGGAATATATGAAGAAACTCTTAAACAATAGTATAATTTTGTTCCTAAAATAACCGGAATTTGCAACGATGTGCATTTTGAAAGACGACAAATTTTTGATATCAGTAATTTTTGGTGTTGAAATACAAGTTCATGTATTCCATTGTGAATCGAGCACTAAAGTTTGGAGAAAAAAGAAGATTTGTAGTACACATATTATGTTTTGCTAAAAAAAAGCTTTCATCTTTTAACAACCACGTTTCTTCTAAGGTCCTAAAGCTTCTGGCTTTTCTGCATAAGTATAGCTAAGCACCATGTTGCTATTTTTTGAATACTTTCGCCAAGAACTCTCTTTTTATGAAACTGACTCGAATAGCATCTTAGGTTCTATTGTCCTTTTTCTGTTTTTTATGAGTTTCAGAGGTGCAGTTCTTGTTCCATGACTTTTTTACTTCAAGTCTTCCTCATCATGTACAAATGGAATATATGAAGAAACTCTTAAACAATAGTATAATTTTGTTCCTAAAATAACCGGAATTTGCAAAGATGTGCATTTTGAAAGACGACAAATTTTTGATATCAGTAATTTTAGTGTTGAAATACAAGTTCATGTATTCCATTGTGAATCGAGCACTAAAGTTTGGAGAAAAGAGGAGATTTGTAGAACACATATTATGTTTTGCTAAAAAAAAGGTTTCATCTTTTAACAACCACGTTTCTTCTAAGGTCCTAAAGCTTCTGGCTTTTCTGCATAAGTATAGCTAAGCACCATGTTGCTCTTTTTTGAATACTTTCGCCAAGAACTCTCTTGTTATGAAACTGACTCGAATAGCATCTTAGGTTCTATTGTTCTTTTTCTCTTTTTTATGAGTTTCAGAGGTGCAGTTCTCGTTCCATGACTTTTTTACTTCAGGTCTTCCTCATTATGTACAAATGGAATATATGAAGAAATTCTTAAACAACAGTATAATTTTGTTCCTAAAATAACCAGAATTTGCAAAGATGTGCATTTTTGAAAGACGACAAATTTTTGATATCAGTAATTTTTAGTATTGAAATACAAGTTCATATATTTCATTGTGATTCGAGCACTAAAATTTGGGCAAAAAAGAATATTTATGCCAACAGTAGAACACATGTTATGTTTTGCCCAAAGAATGTTTTATTCCTAAGGTGTCAGAAGCCTTTTCTGACAAATCTCCTTAACTCAAGAGACCAAAGTCGAAACAAGCAAAACAAAAATAATACTGTTATGTTTGTCGAACGACGTTTCAAAACGCATTCTTTTATTTTGGCAAATTTTCCAAAATACGAAATTTGTACAGGGAGAGGCTTTGCTTTTGATGAAGCGAATGATTTTGTCCATATCAAAATGGGATTTACCAAAAAGTGGTTTCTGCACACGCGGATTCTACGCAATCTGGTTCTTCTCAGCACGATGAAGAAGTCGTGGAATGAAACTTTTGCAGAATTGTTGCATTTCTCAAAATTTTCTCAAGACAAAGAACTAAAATTCAAAAACAAAAGAGATTCTTGTATCCACGTTTGTTCTAAGGTGTCAATTCGTTACAAAAAACATTTGTATTTATATATATATGTAGTAAAATACCAAATTCCAATTTTTTTGTACTAAAGTATGCTCTGAGGGTGGTGTAGTGTTTATTACAATAGTAGAATATAGCGGTCGATATACCTCTAGTAGAGAAAATATTGCAGCATCCTGCCGCCGGTAGACGGCGCTTGAGCTCTCGCGGTATTTGGGTTACGTTCTGCATCCGCACGCGGCCGACCCAGATCCAGGGAAGGCGACGCCGCAGCCGCCTCCGTTTCGCAACGCAACTTGAACGCAACGGTGGCGGCGAGGATGGCGATGGCGTTGCGACGACGACGACGGCGGCGGCGCTGCGTTGACCTCGCGAACCGTGTACGCGCTCGGTGCGTTCTCAGTCGTTGGGCAATGGCCGCGACGACCGGTCGACCCGCTCCGCGCTAACGCGTTGATCCGAGTGCGTGCAAGTGCGTTCTCACCATTAAAAAAAATTATATATATAATTTTTAACAGTTTCGGTACAAAAATTTTTTTTGCAAACATTCGGGAACGTCAATAAAAGCACGGATAAACGGATCAGGTAATTTTTGAAAGGATAAGATACTTTTTTTTGGTAATTTTAGATAGGGGGAATTTCGTCCTGATGTGAGAAGAGAGCAGTAGCAGGATTGCGTTTGCGAGCGTGACCTTGCGCTCGAGGCTGTGCGTACCGTTCCTGCTGCTGTCCATTGCAAAATGCAAAGAGATGGAACGATCGCGTTGTCCTCGTTCGGATACGATCGCCAAGTTACACAAACTTTTCACGCAAAGTTTCGTAATTGGGACATTTAAATTCAATTAAAAGAAATGTTACATTTAAAATTAAAAAAATATATACTAATTAATATTATTAAATATGGGGGAGAGATTAGAATGGACCCATCAATATTAATGATGCATAACGTGTAAATATTCTATTCCGATGGGGAACACGATAATAAACGTTTGGGAAGCGACACATACATTGATTTTTAATTTGCATCGATCGCGCGTTACTTGCTAATAAAAGAATGAACGGGATGAGTGTTTTCGAGTATTGTCATTGGTGGCAGGATGGACGTGCTCTGTATACACAATGAATTGCTGCATAATTAAATAAACTGCAAAAAATATTCTAAATCTACAACAGTTTAACTTTTATTAAATCGAAAATTAAAATTCATTTATACACATTTTTACGATTATTTGCAATCGTACGTCCGTGGTGGTGGAAGAAATCGACCTAGATTTTTTCGCATAACAACAAGGCCATTAACGCATTCTATCGGGCTGAAAAATTGTGCGTGTACCGTTACCCAACCTAGCGAGACGTAACCTTTTTTAAAATATTCGATACAGCTAAAGTAGGAAACAAAGAAAATCAAAACTTTCATTTCATATTTTATATTAATACCACAAAATTTTGCAACAAAAGTTAATCAAAACGGTTTAGTTTAATGTAAATTAGAATAAAAACTATACTTTTTTTTGCACCTTGTATTATCTAACCGGTTTCGGCTTACGCCATCATCAGAGACATCATCGACTTTAAAAATATATCATTAATACACAAATTCTTGTTTTACTGAGGTTTGACTTATTCATTCATATATGAAAAACACTTCTTCTCAGTATCAAAATGTTTTATTATTTATATAATTAAAAACATTATTTTTTCTTCGACATTTCGAGCATTTATTGCTCATTATCAAGAATATGTTCCATCTTGGCGCACTTTTACATCTCAATTTTATTCAAACGATAATGCTGATACGTGTTCTCGTTTGAATAGAATTTAGAAATAACATAAACTTTTTTTTTAAACATTTTGATACTGAGAAGAAGTGTTTTTTATATATGAATGAATATATCATTAAATTTTAACAACATACATAAAATAAGTTTTACTGTGAATTTTTTCTTCCCTCCATAACGGTCGGTTTATGAATAGGTGTGTAATTGATATGTTGTAAAACCGCATCCGAGGAAAAATTCGTACCGAGGTCAACTTCCGCATGACAAGAACCTTTAGGGCAGTCAACGAAATTTAGTTTACACTTTAGAGGGGTTTGTCACTCACTTGAAATTCAAAAGGGTACTTTTAAAGTTGTTTGAAAATATATTTCAATTCTTAGTATTTTTTCTTAAAGATTAAAGATGTGCGTGTGTCCTAGATAGTTGAAACGACCCATCGCAATAAATTAACCTCTTTTTTCCAATTTCCTTTCCAGCTAACAGCATAATAAATTCGCGGGTCGACATGGAGTCCGTACAGCAGCAGCAATTCTGCCTTAAATGGAACAGTTTTGGTAGCAATCTGGCAACGTCACTCAGCAGTCTGTTCAAATGTGAAACATTGGCTGACGTTACCCTCTTTTGCGATGGGGTCACCTTTAAGGCGCACAAATTAATCTTAGCGGCGTGTAGCAAACATCTCGCCGACTTATTTGAAACGGCACCTCTCCATCAAAATCTCCTCATCATTCTTGATGGAACATCGGCCTCGAATATGGCCGCTCTTTTGGAGTTTATGTATAAAGGCGAAGTTCACGTTTCCCAAGATGCTTTAAGCAGTTTTTTAAAAGCCGCCGAATGCTTGCAAGTGAAAGGTTTAAGTATCGAACACGACAAATTAGCTGTTGCCCATCATATGGAAAAACAATCGCCGAAACACGAAGATGAACGCCCCACACCTTCCCCATATTCCCCCATGTCTCCATACAGTATGCATCCGCCCCATTACAGACCCTACGATCAAAGAATGACACCCGTTGATAGACGATCTTTAAGAAGCCCGAATGATATGCACCCAGAATCTATTCGACCCTCAGTTTTGAGGGATTGCAGCAAAGTTGGAAGGCCACCATCCCCGGGGCCTATGTCTTTAGCTTATAGACCATCATCAAGTTCCTCTTGCAGTTTACCGACCCAACAAGAAGCCGACGCGCCTCCGGAACATAGATTTGATCAAGAACCGGCCGCAACAGCTTTAATATGTCCAGAACCGAGTACCAATCAACAATGTGTTGACCCTGGATGCCCCGAAGGTAATCATTTATTTTTTTTTGTAATAAAAATTTTATTTATAAAATTATTTTTATTAGATTTAAGGATTAAAATGGAACCAATGGCGCAAGATGAACAACCAACTCCAAGTAGTACAGCTCCAGGAAGCAGCACAAATGGATCGCCACAAAATGGACCTTTAGGAAAACTAACGGGCTACGAAAATGATAAAAACGATATGGTTACACACACGATTTGGAATTCTGTTACGAATAAGTTATCTCATAAGTCCAGCTCTGTTTCGACACCTGATGGTAAATAAAAAATCTTTCAAAAAATCGATAAACTATGTAAAAATACAAAAATTTAGACCCTAAAATTTTGGAAAGAATAATTTTGGGTACAATTAATCTGGATTAAATTTGCTTCAAAACGTTTTTTATTTCATCGCGATATTTCAATTAGTTCTTGAGATATACATTTTTAAGTTTGATAATGACATTTAGAATTATCAAATCACGCAGGGGTGAATTCAAAAAATCGTGACATCAAGGTTAATAGGAATAAAGAAATAATTTTTGGTTTGATGAATCTGGAATAAATTTGCTTTAAAACGATGCTTATTTCGAGTTGATATCTCAATTACTTTTTGAGATGTATTTCATTTTAAATTTGGAGTTTATAATTTTAAATCGTCGGGATGAATATAAAAAAATCATAACGTGGAAATTTGTTGAATTAAAGAAATTATTTTAAACTCATTAAATTTGCTTTAAAATGCTTCTTATTTCATCGTTATATCTCAATTCGTTCTTGAGACAGAGTTCGATTAAAAAAATCGTATCATCGAGATTTATTGAATCGAAAGAATTATTTTTGGTGCGTTAAAACTAGATTAAATTAGCTACAAATTGCTTCTTATTTCATGGCGATATCTCAATTAGTTTTTGAGATACGATGTTTTAAATTAAATTTGTTTCAAATTACCCTCAAAAATGACAGAGCCGAATTAAAAAAATCGTATCATCGAGATTTATCGAATCGAAAGAATTATTTTTGGTGCCTTAAAACTAGATTAAATTTGCTACAAATTGCTTCTTATTTCATGGTGATATCTCAATTCGTTCTTGAGACACCATTTTTTAAATGACATTTTTTGCAATTTACCCTCAAATATGACAGAATTGGGTTAAAAAAATCGTATCATCGAGATTTGTAGAATAGAAAGAATGATTTTTGGTACGTTAAAACTAGATTAAATTTGCTACAAATTGCTTCTTATTTCATGGTGATATCTCAATTCGTTTTTGAGATACGATGTTTTAAATTAAATTTTTTTCAAATTACCCTCAAAAATGACAGAGCCGAATTAAAAAAATCGTATCATCGAGATTTATGGAATCGAAAGAATGATTTTTGGTGCGTTAAAACTAGATTAAATTTGCTACAAATTGCTTCTTATTTCATGGTGATATCTCAATTAGTTTTTGAGATACGATGTTTTAAATTAATTTTTTTTCAATTTACCCTCAAAAATCACAAAGTCGAATTAAAAAAATCGTATCATCGAGATATATCAAATCGGAAAAATGATTTTTTTAGTGTTAAATCTAGATTAAATTTGCAACAAATTGCTTCTTATTTCATCGCGATATCTCAATTCGTTCTTGAGATACGATGCTATAAACTATATTTTTGCAACTTAACCTCAATAATGTCAGAGTCGAATTAAAAAAATCATATCATAGAAATTTATCGAATCGAAAGAATGATTTTTGGTGTGTTAAAACTAGATTAAATTTGCAACAAATTGCTTCTTACTTCATGGTGATATCTCAATTAGTTTTTGAGATACGATGTTTTAAATTAATTTTTTTTCAATTTACCCTCAAAAATCACAAAGTCGAATTAAAAAAATCGTATCATCGAAATTTATCGAATCGAAAGAATGATTTTTGGTGTGTTAAAACTAGATTAAATTTGCAACAAATTGCTTCTTACTTCATGGTGATATCTCAATTAGTTTTTGAGATACGATGTTTTAAATTAATTTTTTTTGCAATTTACCCTCAAATATGACAGAGTTGGATTAAAAAAATCGTATCATCGAGATTTATCAAATCGAAAGAATGATTTTTGATGTGTTAAAACTAGATTAAATTTGCTACAAACTGCTTCTTATTTCATGGTGATATCTCAATTCGTTCTTGAGATACGATTTTATAAATTATATTTTGTGCAACTTAACCTCAATAATGACAGAGCTGAATTAAAAAAATTGTATCATCGGGATTTATTGAATCGAAAGAATGATTCAATGAGAATTTTAATATTAATTATTGTAAAAATTAAACAATTTTAAGATCTGAAAATGTTACCAATCCTTCTATTTTTATAGTATAGTTTATCGATATTCTGAAAGACGGTCTTTCTATTCTATTGAGGGTAACGGCCGTATTGGTTTGGCTAGAAGAAATAATGCTAATTTAGTTCGGATCTCTCCTTCTAGCGCGTAAGATAGCGTAAGATCTCGCTCATGCACCTTTTATTGATTTTTATTTCAACCAATCGCGTGCGAAACGACGGTGACGTCACCAAAGTTTTTTCAAATTTTTATTATTCTTTTTTGGAAAAGCTAAAGCCTAGTTTGAAAAATAAAAAATTATAGAAGTCTTTAATTTTGATAAACTATCGAATAAGCCAATAAAAAAAATGTGTGCTATAAATATTGTTCTTTTTTGTAGGTAAAAAGTTAAAATGTCCATTCTGTGAGAGATTATATGGTTATGAAACAAATCTTCGAGCTCATATACGTCAACGACATCAAGGAATACGCGTACCATGTCCATTTTGTACAAGAACCTTCACAAGAAACAATACGGTGCGTCGTCATATAGCAAGGGAACACAAAACGGAGCTTAGTTTGAAGGCGTTCCAAACTCAGCAGGTTCATAATCATAACCCATAGGTACCGATAGCACATGCCCCAATAAAACACCCATACAGTGTTAGTAACTGTATCTCGTCGCAAATGTTGCTCACTTAGTCTCTTCTCTTTCTATCACTGTGGAATTTTTTCTCTTCAATTGCCATCTCCGATCGGGGTAAATTAAATTAAGAAGAAAAAAAATTGGTTTAACGTTATTAATGATAAGGTATACCTACATGATATGCTAATTATTAATTAGTTAATTGAATAAGAAAATTTATGCGTGAAAAAAATGAATTGATAAATGATAAATAAGTGAATTATGAAAGAAAGGAAGAGAGATAAAGAGAGTTATTTAAGTTTATGTTTTAATGGTGGATGTAATAGTGGGTATGTGCTAGGAACCGTCCGTCTACCTCATTATTTAGTCCCTAGTCAATTGAGCGACCAATTTCAACAGGTTTCGCCTCAAAACACTCAGGAAATCACACGCAGTGACATGTATGTAATAATAATTGATATAAAATTGATGATGAGTATCAATGACGATAGAATTTATTATTTTTTTAAACGTTAGGTTTATTATTCTTGTTGATGTTGAGGATTATTTTTTAGTGCATCTGCTTAATCAGATAGAATTTTATTATTAAACGTTGTATTTTTCACGCCTGTGCTAAGTTACGATGTAAAATTTGTTTTATTAACAATTAGAATTGTTTTGTAAAGAATTCTTTTTTGATAACTTATCGCAGGATTTATTATACAACCACATATTATCTACCTCAGGTTTCAATAACCTACCAGCGCGTCGAAAAACAGTGTGTTCAGTATTTCCGGGTAAAAAAAATTTTAATGATAAACATTCTTAACCGGCTCTGTGCAATCGCGAAAAAGAAATCGTAAATTTTGTGATATTTTTGTTCGTTTCGAAATTTTTTTTTTAAACTTTAGGTCTTAGAAGTAAATCTTCAGCTGGTTAAGGATGATCTTACTACCTCATTACTTACAATACTTACCTACCTCAAAATGTTTATACACAATTCTATTTTTTACTTTTTTAATATTACGGAAGATTTTAAGTTTTTTTTTTTTTGTTGTAACGAATTTATTTCAATATTCTTTGAAAAAAAGTGTCGATTTAAAGTTTTTGTTTCAAATCGACACGAAATACTTTTTTTTTATTACTATTGTATTTAAAAAAGTAAATGGGTGTCTAGAAATTCTTTTAAATAATTTTATTCATAAGATTTTACATGAATTTATAAGATTTTTTATAGGATTTTCCATTTTGAAAGATTTATGATGATATTATCACAATTATCGTTATGCCAGCTAGGAAAGGTGACTAACAAGATCTGAAATGACAATTCCAAATCACTCTAAATATAGTGATTGAGATCTAATAGTGATTTTTGTATCTCCACATTTATACCAACTTTTTGATAAAATCCATGAGGTTGTTCTGATTTATGCATGATTTAGTATTCATAAAAAAAGCTCCAATTGACTCTCCAGCCAACAATGGTGAACTGTAATATAATAACCACACATCATTTTGAGATCTAGTTGAATCAAGGTTTGAAATCAACAAATTATTTTGCAATTATTGTTTTGTTAATATATTTTTGATTTAGACATTAATGTTTTCCTGTAATGATGACGTGAAGTGAATTGTGATGAAATCATAAGGTTGGAACAATCAACTGGTACAAAAGCCATTCGGTTCATTTCTGCATAATTTTGTACTGAAGCAGATATGATGGCACAATTACACAGGTATACAAGTGGCTGAAATATAAACCATAAAAGATGAGAAACATTGTATACAAAGGGAGAGTTCAAGACGTTTTAATGGACATCCACACTTTGAGTTAGAAACATTGGTGCACTAATTTTGCAATGGATCATTGTTAGCACAGATGTTGCTATTTGAACTGTAGAAATAACAAAAATATAATTCCTGCCTACTGTGAGAGTTTGCAAAGCATCTCTCTCTTACGCATTTTGTATTTATCAAAACCTTACAACATTTTTTCTGGTTGTAAGTAATAATCTCTGCACTATAATGAGTTGGAAATCAAACAGATTGGAAGTGATTATTTGTCGTCATGGTCATCGTGAGCCAACATAACGAGAATAATTTCAATTTCAAGGGCTTAGTACAGTTGATCATGAATTAGTGACAAAATCATGAGTTGACTGGAATTGTCAAGTCATGATTTTGGAGTCTCAATGTGTCATTTTAAAATTTTTTAAGGTATTCTGTTTAAAGTTCCAATTTAAGTATATTCATAATGTAAATTTGATCTATTTTTTTAACATCCAGTTTTTTCTGGATTTCAAAAAGCAATGAACAGTTTTTTTGTTCACTTCGTTTTTTGGGAGAACTCTTACGCTATTAATTTGTAAACTCTTTTTTCCATCATTAATTTACATTTTTCGTCAGGATGTTTTCTCGTATTATTGTTATTATTCTCTCCAACAGTTCGACTTAAATTGTTCTGGATTAATGTTGTTATTACGTCTTTCCATGCAGTTTTTAAATATCAAAGAAGCTATGTTACTTTTTTATGCCAGATTTTAGCGTTCCTAATTTCTTTTCTGGGCAGAGTTCCACAAGTATACCTAATGTTGTCTGGTCATTGTTTTTTTTCTTTTTCCAGCGGAGATGTAAGCTTGCTTCTGTTATTATTCAATGATTTCAACTCTGATTATGAAAGCCAATTGTTTACTTTTCTAATTCCATTCATGCACGCTTCTGTCCTTCAATTTTTGCTCAATCTTGTACTAAGAAGTGGAGATAATTCGCAGATTGTTGGTAATATTTTGATTAGTAATAACTTTGAAATGCATGTTTTTTTTTAATACCGGGATTTCCAAGACCACATTCTTCATCTGGCCATGTCATCTATGGAAGAAATTTCCTTCACTTTGTCTAAAATTTTGCATACAATTAGATTGTTTTAGATTATTAGACTACAGAGTGCGATTCATGAAGCAAAACAGAAATCTGTCTTGTGTTGGTGTGGATCAACAGGAGCAACCTCAATTTTATGAGCATTGTTATAAAGTTTGCCAACTCTTTTAGGCACCTTTAACATACGCTCCTGAATGTGCTAAGGTGTTTTAGAAAAATCTTCTGGGTACGGAAAGTCCCTAATAATGATATCATCAGTAATATTTATGACATACTGCAATGTTGTTACTGTTGCTACCTCCATTTCTTCCATTATTATCATTCAATCTATATAAAAATTCTAAAATACATATTTTTCAATACATACAATCAAATCTTTTGTACGGATTGACAATTTTATTTCAATTTTCGTAATACATAATCTTATATGATCAATTTTTGGAATTCAAGATAAAACAAAAATATAGATAGATCTTTCTGATTTAACCTACTAAATTCCAATATAGGAAGCTTTTCTGCAAAGACCCGTTCCATGACAGATTTTTATCTATTATTTGGGTTTCTTCATGGTTTCAGGATTACCATATTTGATGGAATTGTCAATATAAATGCTTACAATTTCACGAAACTGAGATAGTTCTTCGTTGAAGCTGTTCGTATCAAAAGCATTTAAATAAGTTATAAATAGACATTCTTCATCACATCCTCCTATTCACTTCAAATATTTTTATAAGCTGCAACATATTCTTGAATTCCAATATTAACTGGTCGAATGTAACGTGTAAAGAGTTAACAGTATACCTTAATGTTTCAATGTGTCATTTTAAAAATTTTCAAGGTATTCAGTTTAAGGTTCCAATTTAAGTATACTGATAATGTAAATTTGATCTGGTTTTTTTAACATCCAGTTTTTTCTGGATTTCAAAGAGCAATCAACAGTTTTGTTCTTTCCATGCAGTTTTTAAATATCATGGACGCTATGGTTACTTTTTTATGCCAGATTTTAGCGTTCCTAATTTCTTTTCTGGGCAGAGTTCCACAAGTATACCTAATGTTGTCTGGTCATTGTTTTTTTCTTTTTCCAGCGGAGATGTAAGCTTGCTTCTGTTATTATTCAATGATTTCAACTCTAATTATGAAAGCCAATTGTTTACTTTTCTAATTCCATTCATGCACGCTTCTGTCCTTCAATTTTGCTCAATCTTGTACTAAGAAGTGGAGATAATTCGCAGATTGTTGGTAATATTTTGATAATAACTTTGAAATGCATGTTTTTTTTAATACCGGGATTTCCAAGACCACATTCTTCATCTGGCCATGTCACCTATGGAAGAAATTTCCTTCACTTTGTCTAAAATTTTGCATACAATTAGATTGTTTTAGATTATTAGACTACAGAGTGCGATTCATGAAGCAAAACAGAAATCTGTCTTGTGTTGGTGTGGATCAACAGGAGCAACCTCAATTTTATGAGCATTGTTATAAAGTTTGCCAACTCTTTTAGGCACCTTTAACATACGCTCCTGAATGTGCTAAGGTGTTTTAGAAAAATCTTCTGGGTACGGGAAGTCCCTAATAATTATATCATCAGTAATATTTATGGCATACTGCAATGTTGTTACTGTTGCTACCTCCATTTCTTCCATTATTATCATTCAATCTATATAAAAATTCTAAAATACATATTTTTCAATACATACAATCAAATCTTTTGTACGGATTGACAATTTTATTTCAATTTTCGTAATACATAATCTTATATGATCCATTTTTGGAATTCAAGATAAAACAAAAATATAGATAGATCTTTCTGATTTAACCTACTAAATTCCAATATAGGAAGCTTTTCTGCAATGACCCGTTGCATGACAGCTTTATCTATTATTTGGGTTGCTTCATGGTTTCAGGATTACCATATTTGATGGAATTGTCAATATAAATGCTTACAATTTCACGAAACTGAGATAGTTCTTCGTTGAAGCTGTTCGTATCAAAAGCATTTAAATAAGTTGTAAATAGACATTCTTCATCACATCCTCCTATTCACTTCAAATATTTTTATAAGCTGCAACATATTCTTGAATTCCAATATTAACTGGTCGAATGTAACGTGTAAAGAGTTAACAGTATACCTTAATGTTTCAATGTGTCATTTTAAAAATTTTCAAGGTATTCAGTTTAAGGTTCCAATTTAAGTATGCTGATAATGTAAATTTGATCTGGTTTTTTTAACATCCAGTTTTTTCTGGATTTCAAAGAACAATCAACAATTTTGTTCTTTCCATGCAGTTTTTAAATATCATGGACGCTATGTTACTTCCTCTATTCCAGATTTTAGCCTTCCTAATTCCTTTTCTGGGCAGAATTCCACAAGTATACCTAATGTTGTCTGGTCATTAATTTTGCTGACTTATGTTGTTATTCAATGGTTTCAACACTGATTATGAAAGCCAATTATTTACTTTCCTATTTTTATTCATGTATGCTTCTGTCATTCAATTCTTGCTCAATCTGGTACTAAGAAGTAGAGATAATCTGCAGATTGATTAATAACTTTCACATGCATATTGCTTTTTAATACAGGGATTTCCAAGAGCACATTCCTTTTCTGGCCATGTCACATGAGGAAGAAATTTCCTTTACTTTGTCTAAAATTTATTAGTAATTACTCCGTATATATTCAGTACTTTCTACATCTTGCACAAGATTAGATTGTTTTAGATTATTAGACGCTAGAGTGCGATTCATGAAGCAAAACAGAAATCTTTTCTGTGTTGGACTGGATTACATTACTGGTAACAGCAGCAACCTCAATTTGATGAGCATTGTTACAAAGTCTGCCAATTCTTTCAGGTGCCTTTAATATTAAATAGAATAATAATTAAACACCGTAAAGTGTTTTTGAAAAATCTGAGTATGGGACGTCCCTAATAATGTTGTTACCAATGTTCTTCCATTATTATCATTCAATTTGTATAAAAGCTCTAAAACTACAAGTTTTTCAATATACAGGGTGTGTCAAATGTCTGGAATATAGCCAATAACTTCGCCATTTGTGGTTTTAAAGAAAAATGTTTCAAATAAAAAATTCTTTATTAATTGTGAACCATTTTTCTGCGATATTTTCATCTTTACATTGTCTTTTGTTTCGTTGCTATGGCAAC